CTGATGCATGTCTATGTTCTCTTTTATGAAGCACCAGTTTGTTACATTGGCATTAGTAATGACATGCATCCCAGTACCTACTTATTTTGATTAATAATAATAGAGATACTAGTGTACATGTATCTATCAATCAGTATTCACTCTCCTTCTCTCTTTCTCTCTCTCCTCTTATCTCAGAGTGGCTGGTTTAAAAGGACTTGGTTCCATTGCTATAGACAGCAGAGCTGATCTGTTATTATTTGACAAAGATCTCACACTAACTGCAACTATGGTGACTGGAAATACTGTCTGGAAGAAATGACATTATTTTAATGCATACTGAGCTCACCTCTGAGGCATATTACTTGCTTCATTATGACTATGTGACAATGAAATAAAAAATAGAATTAATATTTATGTGTATGGAGCATTTATGATATAACATATACTTATTGTTTTGTATTAGTTGTTTACAAAGTTTTAATTTCATTTATTTCTCTCTCTTCATTTTTTGGATTGATGAGAGAGAGAGGGAGGGACATTGAAGGACAGGGAGAGATTCCTTCACAAAATTATAAATATTGTCTTGTTTTCATGTACTTAAAGTTATCTAAACACTGAACACTTCACATCTTACTTGCAAAAAATAATGAGTTCCACCCAATTTTTCTGTATCACGTGATCCAGTGAGGGGGGGGAGCCTAGGCTATGCGCTAGTAGGCTCACTAGGCTAGCTGCTATACTCACCGCTGCTGTGCCTAGCAGTGGCTATGGCATCTAAAAGTAAGTCCTAATGCGAATGTTACTATTCCAGTATCATGTACTGTCAATCATTGATATATAGATCAACTGAATGGAAGAGCTGTTCACCGCACTGTATCAGTAGGTGATTCACTCTATGTGTGGGCTGGTAAACAGGATGGTTTACCTAAAGTACATGATAGTGAAGAGAAGAGAAGGATCGCTAGTAATATACAGCACTTTACTCCTTCAACTGGTCAATGGATCACTAGAGGTACTACTGGCACTCCTCCATTAGGAGTGAGAGCATACCGCTGTACTGCAATAAATGATCAATTGTATTATTTCGGGGGAGATTGTGGCCATGACAACTGCTTTCACAACAGTATTACACAACTGGATACAGTTAGTCTTCAATGGAGGGAATTAGAACCAACTGATGCAACTAGACCAGTTATGAGGAGAGGTGATGGTGGAATGATATCATTTGAACATGATGGAGTACACCATTTACTAATGATAGGAGGAGGAGGATTTGGATCTAAACCAGCTGACAACTACCTCATTATAAATATATTAAAGCATCTAATGGAGTATGGCGTACTAATGAGCACTCAATGTATAATCTATCATCAAGTAAGATTTTACGTTACTGTTTATATCCTACCTAAGCCAAACTTTAAAGACACCGCAGTGCTGATAAATGTGATATATGCTGAGTGGGGGTGTTATAACATATACTAATAATTTAGGAAAATGGAATAATCCTTCAATAATTGGTCAGTGTATACCACCTGCTAGTGCCTTTATCATTGAAAAGATCAACAACACTAGAGCTGTTCTGTTTGGTGGACGAGAGACTGATGATGATGCTAAGACTACTTATACTAGCAATATTTATATATTAGAGATATCAATCAGCACTGTGGTATGTTAAATTATGTGTACTGAATTTAAACACGCACACACACACACACACACACACACACGTCATTGTTAATGGGCGTGGCTATTTTATTTTTAGTTCTGGCAGTGTATAAAGAAACCTGAAGCAATAGACCAATGGCCTGTGGATAGATACTATCATGCAGGTGCTATTATTATAACTGGATCAGACTGTCCTATGCTAATCATAAGTGGTGGGAGGGATAACAGTACTGATGCATTAGATGATTGTTGGATCTTTAACATCACTCAACATTCCTGGATAAAGGTATGTTAGATATTATTAATAATTGATCTGTACAGTGAGATAAATGTAAATTATTAATTTATTTCTATTAACAGTTAGATGTACCTCACTCTGTTAGTAAGAGATTGTGTCATTCTCTC